GATCAGAAAAGGATATCGAGAGAACAATGGAGAGTCATTTGTGAAAAGGGCTGTTTTTGAAAATGTCCGTTAGCTCAACAAACTGACGCATTTCAGACCCAAAGATCTGCAGTCCACCAACAAATAAAACTTACTGTGTCTGTGAGTATTTACATTTTTTAAGTGTTTCACCAGAGAGAGAAAAAAAAAACCTCATACAAAGCCCAACAGAGGCTTTCACCTCGAATTTCCCCTTGACTGTGTCATGCAGTAAAATAAAAGGAACAAATAGGCTAGCAGAACCTGATATTTACCCATCCGCTTTATATTTCCCCCTCAATTTCTTTCCCTTGCTCTCCTTTATATATGAATGAGGAGCCAACATCACAAATGCTGCACCAATGTGGCTTTATGTGGCCGGCTCTCGATCAGTCATCGTCCCCAATATCAGTCACTATGGCGACAATCAAACATCAGTTTATTATATTTCACCTATAAGAATACATCGCAATACACACGTGGTCGAAGAAACTCATAAATATCTAAAGCCAATTCCTTTTGGGTGAAAAGAAGTCTGACAGTGGTCATTCCATATAATAGACACATTAGTGCATGGTTTCCGGGGTTTAAGAAGATAAGGATGTGGGATAAGAGAAGTGATAACATGGGACACCTATATATTGCTTGAAAATACAGGTATCTTTGTTTCTGGCGAATGCTTATCCTTGTGTATGGTGTCAATGCTAACAGGCATATTTATATATCGGTGCGAAGAAACAAACCAATAGCGGGGTCTATCTACCAGTAACAGGTCTAGTCTAGGCCTCATTATTGACCGATGTATCTATCAATAATCAATTCTTCAAACAGGCTTTGTTGCCTATCATAACACTCATACGCTTCTGGTTAAGGATGAGGGAGAAACAATGAACAACTCCTTTACTCCAAATGCATTTTTCCACTTTTAACATGTGGCCTGGATTTAAAAATCAGAGACATTTAACATTAGAAAAAAGAAACAGTAAAATCAAAATATAGCCTTAAATATAAACATTTTATAAATTATATCAAATAAAAACATATCATTTGTGAACTGGGTTCTAGCCAATGGCCGGGTAGAAATTAATAATACAACAAAACCAGGAATTCAAGCGGAAAATTAGACCCAGAAAAAAACATTTTCAAATAAACGTACACTTTTTCAAACCCTTAAAACTGAATTCTGTTCACACTGGAATCTCAAACCCGGATTCAGCCAAGAGAGAAACTCACCGTTTAAAGAACGTCCAGACCAGCTCGCCATCAGTCCGCAGACGGTCTCTACTCTTATCCTCGAGTTTTGGTCGTTCAGCATCTTTAGAACCGCTCCCTGCAGCACCGTCAAGATCCCGACTGGTGTGTGCTTCGCTGATCTCTAACAGCCTGCGACAGCAAGGGGTAACAGTGCGTAAAATCGAAAGTTGAAACCAAGTTTCCCAAGAAAGGACCCGCAGAGGAGGACAACATCCTTGATGTAATCCAGCAGGCGCCGGAGTGAAAAGGGTCCGCGATCCTGAACTCGATGCTGCCCAATCCTGAGCTCGAGCTCCTCTAACAAAGAGGGAGCAGTGGAAACAGAAACCCTCCTCCTCCCCCTCCCGCCCCAGCCCTCCACAGACCACTTTCTCCACCGCGCTGCAGTCTGGATGGATCCGCCTCCCCGAGAGGCTGCACAGTGAGTCCGCGTCCTGGAGGCTGCTGTTAGAAACCAGATATCCGCATGTACTTCAACAGCAGGGACTGAACCTGATGGTTTTAAAGAACCCCTTTCACACCGTTAATGCCTCCTTTAAAACGTTGTCCTCCAGCAGGGCCTTGATGACATTGAGGTCATTTTCTGCTTACAAGATGGTTCCATTATTTTTAGTTTCAGTCTTACTAATTTTAGGCCTTTCAAAATAAAGGAATAATCTTTTTTCCTGCCAGGGGCAGATCTAAATAATCATGGGGTGTCCAGAAGGTGGCATGGAGACTGTAAGGGGTGTCTGAAATATCTGCTGATTTAATCACAAACAATCACATATTTGCTTGCTTGAAGAGCCCCCAGAGATTTCAACTCAGAAACGCTTTTGTGGTACTAATTAGAAATATCTAAAGGTGGCATTAGAAATCAATATGTTGTTAGAGTACATTTTCGAATCTCCAGACATTTTTTTAAACACATTATTTTTTAATCAATCTGTTAAACTTGAAAATGATGCCTAATTTTTGACTATACGTTTAGGACATTAAAAATAAAAGAATAATCACTTTTCCACCAGTTTATTGCTAGTGGAAGCATTTACTGGTTGGGCACTGATTTATACTTGTGTGTTGGTAATCATGATATATAATAATATAATATATAAATATATCATTTACATTTAACATTTAATGGAATTTTTCAAATGAAAAAATGAAAAAAACACTGGAGGATGAAAATGTCCTAAAGGTGTGCTTGAGAACTAGCACTCATGACTTTCTGGCCCACACTGTGTGTATAATAAGTGTGTATAATAATATAAGTCTATATTCTGCTGGTCAAAACGTTTTATTGAAGGTAAAATTATTATTCAGGAGATTTTATGATATCATATGGAAATCATACAGCTCTTGTGGATCCTTTGAACGCATCATTCCATATCTCTGCATTTTACTGATGTTGTCTAGAATATTAAAATAAAGGCTCAGTCTGTCCATATGAGCTCAGATTCAATCTGCAGCCTGATTTATCATTTGCATAAAGAGCCGATACTTTCCTCCAGACTGCTCCCACTGCGCAGATTCATATTAAATATAAGGCACTGATAAGATCACACTCTTTCTATGAAACGGAGACGATATCCGGCAGTTTCATATAAACCGCCTCAGACTGATCAGTCCTCTGCCAGCAGGCCTGAGATCAGCTGTGTGCGAAAAGCAATAAAAAGCGACATTCATCAGCTTCTTGCGCTCTTTTGGTCGCTCTGCGCTCAGATAGAAGGAACGCAGGGAGGAGGCTTCACGGGAAATTAAATAGTGAAAGATGGGCAGGTCAGGTTCAGCTCACTGATTATTGTCCCAGTTATATTAAGTTATTATTTTTGTAAATCCGGAGGTTGATGAGTATATTAGTGAAACCTTGCTGCCTCTCAAGCACAGGAAACCAACACTATTTTACGCTGCATAATCGGCATTTAAAGGAGCAAATTGTTAAATAAATAAATAAATGAAGCGCCAGAGTTAGCATGTGCATCACAAAATGCAATACCACACAATACAGTAGGTGCAAAGAGAGCATATAAAACCCCAAATTACCCTGAAAATAAAATTCAACAATCAAACGTAGAGATATACAACAAAATATAAGAAACAATAGAAAAGCATTAGAGTCCTTATTAAATCATACCAGTCTGTAATAGTGTTTTTAAAAGCTTTTTAAACAGATATCAGCCTAAAAAAATAATAAAACAATAATTGTTGAGACAACAATGAGGTATGCAGTATATCCACCCACATGTCTAAAGAAAATGTCTCTCAGATTAAATTTTTATTTTCAAAAGAAAAAAGGAAGACCTGTAAATTCTTATACAAAATGTTCGTTTATCTGTTTAGAGGCCAATTAAAAAATCTGGTAAGAAGTGATTTAGAATTTCTTGAAAAAAAAGCTTATTTTGAGAGAAAAAAATAATTTGATGTCTCGTTTTCATTAATGAGTGTTGTTTTGTCAGTGCCATATAGATACAGAAAACTTATCTGAAATGAATAAATGAAAGCATTAATAATGCTGATGATATTAGTAATGTTAGGCCAATACATCATGGAAACCTGTAAAAAGCAGTTAAGG